CATAATCTTTCCCTGATACTTCACAGCTTCTAATGACTATTATTCAGATGTGATGGCTATGGCAAAGAACATGGAGAGCCACAATATTTATTGAGCAAGCAAACATAAAATGGCATTGTAATATTTAGGACAAATTTAAAAAAACATCAGACCTGGATATCTTTTTAATATGTCTACTTTGTACCCTAAATTAGAACAATTAACAATTCAAATATTTCCTCTTCAAATTGGCGATGCTGTGAAAGTCAGGCCAAGTGGGTGAGTAGTTATTTTCAAGGGCCCAGAATTTTTAAGGCTGATGATTCTTGGCATTGCCACCTGGGAAATGTCACTCAAGACATATTGTCCTTTCATTTCCTCACCTATTAAGAGGGGATAATGGAGTGCTTACCATCATAAAGTGGAGTAGATATTTTAAAAAAGATTATAGAAGTAAATTAATTTAGCTACTAGCAACACAGCAGGCTACTGTAGCTAATGCCACCATTAATGCCTTCATTGTCATATATCAAGGTTGGTAGGTCTTGACAAATGCTTCAGTCAGGCTAAATCCCAGGCACTCTTCATCCCTTCCCTCTTCATCTTTTTGAAATAAAAGGCTGGATTATATGCCTTCAAGATCTGCCCTGGTTATAGAGTCCTTAAATGGTTTGTAGTAGAGCTGTAGGATCAATGTATCTTCAGCTGAACTCCTCTAGGATCTCACTGTTGAACTAATCAGCAATATCATTCTAACAGAACTTCAAGAGATTAGTTGGAATCTCCTCAAAACCAGATTAGCATCACAGACAAGTGTGTGTGTGTGTGTGTGTGTGTGTGTGTGTTCTACCAATTTAGCATCCCCTAAGTCACAGCTTCTCTTAGTTTTATGTCCAGACAATCAATAGCCTCTTCTAGGAACTTGTTAAAAAGTATAAATTTCAGGGTGTCCTTTCAAAGTTGCTATGTCAGGAACCGAAGGTGGGACCCAGCATCCATCAGGCCCAACCTGTGGTTCTGAGGATGCTGAAGGCTAAGAACCACTGGTGTGAACAAAGAGTGGGAAAGCCTGCTCTGCCCTCAAATACCCATACACTGGGACAAATGTCACTGTTAGCGATCTGGCCTCTAAAGACAAGCACAAGGAATGTCAGTTGGAAACAGTTCAAAGTTGAGTAACCAATCAGCTGACAAGATTGAGAAATCATCCTTGGCTACTGTCTCTAGGGAAGTGAAGGGCTAAGAATGGCATAGAAAAGTTCAGAAAATCAACATATCAGAAGACACCAAAGTAAGGATGCTAATGAGAGAGCTGTACCAGTGAAAATATACAATGTATCCCCTTCACAGCTGTCAAAAACCATGGGTTTGCTACGCTCTCAGTGTACTAAAGAAATCAGCTACTGTTCTTTTCATTATTATGTCAATAATCTAAAAAATTTTGACATGCAAAAACCAGATTTATGAATACAGAATGCATAATACAGAAGTTATATGATTATCTTCTCTGAGGAAGAGTAAACCTTTTCATTAAAAGCTACACTGATATGCTAAAAACTCACAAATATTTCAGTGAAGATTAAAGGTAAAAGGAGAAAATCTACATTAGGAGTTACAGAGATACAGGAGATTTATTTACTTTGCTGTCCTTATTTTGTTATCTATCTCTTTACCCAAACCCCATTTAGACCAACAATTCTAATTACCTCTGAGATATCAATATCTATTAGAACCTAAATATATCCAATCTGATCCCTTGGGCCTTTTCTCATAGAGTCTACTTCAGCCAATTATTTTATTATTTCCCAAGGTACTAAACCAAACAACCCTATATTTTTCCTTTACATCTGTCTCATGCTCTCTAACAACCTAGACACTGTAATAACATGTGTTCATCAAATCCAGTTATTTTAACTTCATAAAGATTGTAGGAGTCTTCCTTTCATCTTTTCGGTTGTGACCACCTTTATTCTTAATTCCATACTGGATTTTTCCATTTCTTCCTTCATAACATACAGCTTAACTCTCTTGAGAACAGGAGTACTGTCTCTCTTCAGGCTCCAGCACAAGGCCTAGCAGGCTAAACCAGAAATTGCTCCCCTGTGAGTGTAATTAAGAAGTACACCAGTTCATTTGAAGTCTCCAAGAACTGATGATTTTAGTATGCCACCAAACACTGGGTCTTTTTCAGAGGGAAAAATGTAACTTGTGACAAATTTATAAAAATAATAATATGTCTATAAATCACAGCATACATCAGGATCTTAGTAATTTGCTAATACTTATATTTTAGTGGTTTTATGTTAGAACCTCTTTCTTGGCTTTCACTTACAATTACATTTATCAAACCTAGTAGATTATTACTGTTTTTATGATTTAATAAGCCAGTTACCTCAACATTAGTTTTGATTAAGTGTCAAAATATTTGTGGATGAATGAAGAATATGTATCTATACATCTAGAATTGTGTATATTACCCCAACACATAAGATGATTTCAATAAATGCAAACCTTAACTAAAAATTTACACTTGGGGAGGGAGGGAAAGGCCCAGTCAAAAACATACTTTTTTCTCATGTCACATAAGGCATGAAAACTGATATTCCAAGAGATGTTATCTGTGTCTAAAAGATGTGTTACCTAATGAAATAACACATAGACATCTCTCAACCCATCCTTTATGGACTTTTATGGATTAACGTTGTACATTCATGCTGTCAATGCCTCATCTCCATTGTGTGGTATACCAGGAACTCTAAGGCAGCCTAAGATTTTTCTTCAGAAATCACCAAGTTCAAAGTTTTCCTTTATTATCCTTCACCAAAGTCGAATTCTAAAATGCACAAATAGAAAAGGAATTCTTGGCCAGAAGACGCATGTGAGAGACATCTTCCAGAAACACATGGCCTGGGAAGCTTCAGAGCCCTGGCAGACTGCAAACCTTTACTACTTTCTATTAATAATCCTAGTCCAAGTGCCTGTAAGGAGCCAGGACCTACTTGTGAGATGAGGACTTAGCTCAGAAGTTGAACATTTTCCAACAAACACTCTCATAATAGCAGGTACCTTCTCCAGACACAAGATTTCTCTGGTTAGCACAAACATCATTGTATAAAGGGACACTGGAGAACCTTCTAGAAAGCAGAAATGATGAGTTTCTTCAGTAACATATGAAAAACACATTAACTGGCTATTTTGTTCCAAACACTTCTGGGCTACATGGAAGACTTAACATCTGACCTATGGGTACCTAAACAAATTTAAAACAAGAGGGTATAGAATATAGTTTGTTGCTACTAAAACACCTAGATCCTTTGGATATGATTATGGACCTAAATTTAAAGCCAAAAGGGTAGCAGCTTGGGTCTTCAATGTTCCCTAGAAGCTCCTGTCTTTGTCCCAGGGTGGCAGTTTTCAAAGGCAGAGCTTTCGGGAAGTGATTGAGGGCTTTCTACTCATGAATGCATTATTTCAGCAATAAATGCCTTGATTAATGGGCTACTGGGAAATGACAGAAACTCTTGCAAGTAGGACCTAGCAAGATGAAAGAGATCATGGAAGCCATGCCGGTGAAGGGTGTAGATTGTCTCTAGCCCCTGTGTCTTTCATCCTTTCTATTGGGTCTTGTAAAGAGGTGAGCAGTTCTCTTCATCATATCTTCTCCATCATGTTGTTCTGTCTTACCACAGGACCATGGAGAGAAAGCTGAGCACCATTGGCATAATCTCTGAAACTGTGAAAATCTACCTTTCTTCCCCCAAGCTGGCTATTCTTCAAAGCTGTGTCACAGTGATGTAACTCTAACACTAAGAGAGTAGAATCTTAGCTTACACCTATTAAACCAGATTTCTATTTAGTGGTGAAACACTGGGATATAACAGTATGTCTGCAAGAGTTACTTACCACACAACTTGTATGCCCTAATCTAGGCTAACTTAAGTTTTCAAGGGTCAGTGATCCTATCAGTGAAGTTTAATAGTGTAGCAAGATAACCCACAACTGTATATGAAACAAACAATAACCAAACTGGCAAAGCAATAAGTGAAGAAGTATGATTCCTTAGAGTGTTCATTTATCAATGTTTTGGTTCTCAGAGAAGAGATAGGAGTGAATAAGGAAAAGATTTGAAAATGCATCATGAGACACAGGTATCTTAGAACTCGAAGAGATGCTCAGCTACAATTTTCAACCTAACTCTGAAGATTCTGATAGAAAGTCCTTCAGAGAAGCAAAGACAATAATGGGTATGTGACTCCTCAAACACTGTCATTTATCAGACACAGAAAACTTTGTGTTGTCAAACATGACAGAAGATGCTAGAAGTGAAATAGACACATCTTGTAAGATTCCAATTTGAAAGGCAGATTTTTATAGCCATGATAGCATCTGCAATTAATCCATCATTAGCCTTGATGCAAGGAAGTAAAGGAGTCAATATGTAAGAAAAGGGATCAAACAGGCCTTTCTGATAGAGGAGAGGACAGTGACAAAGCAAAAAATCCAGACAGGTGAAAACATTCCTTGCTTGTTCCCATCTATGGTCCCCCTATTTTTACAGTGCTAAACATAGACAGTAAACAAAACATAACCCACTGTGGTTACAATCATTTCTTTCTTAGTGAGAAAGTGTTGCTACACTTCTGCCATTAATAAATATGTTGTAACCCTCTTATAGGCAAAGCAAGCTTCTCTCTAGCAGTTATTTATGCATCATTAAGAATGACTTAATTTATCAGAAACCTTCAGAGTGTGCTAAAGACAATGTCAACATTAGATGGTGGTATCCACTTTTTCCAGAAGATGCAGTGACCCAAAACATGCAAGGAGTTTAAATAGGAAAATAATCCAACAAATTACAGTTTGATAGTTCAGAATGTTGAAATGAAATAAGATCAAAGGACCCCCCCCACCACACACACACACACACACACACACACACACACACACACACACAGACAGACACACACATTCAGGGTGTTTACAAATTTAAAAACATGAACCAAATGAGCTTTCATACCCACCTGCTTCTCTCCACTTGGCTTCTTGTGGTTCAGCAACAGCTCCACAGCTCCAACCACCTCCTTTCTGATAGCATGAAGCAGTGCATCACCCACATAGACGTTGAAACTTAACAACAGTTCAATCAGTTCCAGGTTCTCATTTTCAATGGCAATGAGAAGAGCAGTCCTTCCAAGAGGGTCAATGCAGTTGATGTTGATTTTAAAATAAATCTCTGCTTCCTCAAGCGACTTCTTGACACTTGCATAGTCCCCCTTTTCCACTGCATTCAAGTAGGCTTTTTCTGAAGGTGAGAGTTCAGATTCTGCTCTGACAATCCTCAGGGGGATGCGGTCTCTGTAGGGGGCGTTGACATTCCTTTTGTAATAGAACTGAGCCATGCTTTAGGCCATGCTAGTCCATCATCTCTGGAAGCACACACAGAAAGAAAACTGTGAGCATCAGCACACTGCCAAGGTGTCACATGTGCTATCAGACAAGCAAGCATTATTGACAACCATAGTGTCCCTACTAATGGGTAAAAGATGCTTTTCCTTAGGGAAGGGAAATGGATATTTACTCAGTTGCCTACAAGTGAGAAGTTAACATTTATTCTTTTAAAATGTCATTATGTGTGCACCTGTGAGAGTTTATGTGCACCACATAACATGCAGCTGTTCATAGAGGACAGAAGAGGACATTGGACCCTCTGGAGTTGGGGTTACAAACTATCATGAGTGACCATGCAGGTGCTGGGAACTATGTTCAGGCCCTCTGCAAAGGCAGCCAGGCTCTTAACCACCTAGCCATCTCTTTAGGCTCAACAATTTCTAATCTACAATTAGACAGTTATCTTATGATTTTAAAGTAACATTTAGTAGATACTTCAACTAGAAACTTTAAGAAGCTATTTGCATATATATTTACATGCACATATATATTTGTGTATTTTTGCATGTATACAAATATATATGTTTGTGCCTATATACATTCTTGCAAAGCACTTTAAAAACTAGAAGTTATGCCTTTAGGTTCCCATCAGGAAGTTTTAAAGGTACCATTCACTATGAATTTTGCTGATTATGAAGCTGCTGCTATGGCTGTAGAGTGTCATCATGTTAGAAAAAATAATCTTTTCATAACATTATTTAGTATTTACCATGTTAGTGTGAATTACTGAAACTACTGTCAATTCAATAACATTGACCCTAGTGAATGCAACTTTATTTTTTTCTGTTTGTCAGTGAATTTAGTGAGGGAGAAAGAATGATACTGATAACATTAATTGTCAAGATGAGACCATGCAACTCAACATGGAAAAAAAGACACACAGAGAGAATATAATATGAATATACTTAGTACATTATGAATGCACCAGGAACATACTGTAAAATTGAAAGTTGGCATCCTTCATTTCTGCCACTTCTATGAAATGACCATATGTGCAATGTAGGGAAGGGTTCATTTGAAATTTGTCTTTTAATTTGGAGGATGCAGTAAAGATATAGCTGAAGCTGACAAAGTGAATTTAGAATAATCATAAATGAAAAAAATCCACTGGAAGCATAGACCTGGCATTGTAAAGTTTCAGGAAAATGAACTATATTTTACATATAAATCCTGAGGGATTTTGCTTGTTTGTTTTGCTTTGTCTTGAGTCAGCGTTTCTCTATGTAGCCCTGGCTGTCTTGGAACTTCCTTTGTAGATCAGGTTGGCTTTGAACTCACAGAAATCTGCCTGCCTCTGCTCCTAATTGCTGGGATTAAAGGCATGCACCACCACCACCCAGCTTATATATAAATTCTTTGTTTTCTGTATGTCATACCTGTTATTTTATTCTCTGAAAGCATATATGTTTATGTATATAGTATATAGTATATAGTATAAGTGGATCATTTAAACTGTTTATATATTCCTATTAATTGGTATTTGTATGTTAATCAGTGTATGAGTATTAATTTGATCTGAACAGTACTTTAACTGTAGATTAAAGAGACTTTGCACTAACAAATATGTCCACATTTTTAGAGGGTTTTTTTTTAATTTTAGTTCTAAGTGTATGTATGCAGTATATATGTATAGTTATGTGCTCAAGAGTAAGGGTGCCCACAGAGGTCTGTTGGAGTATTTTGGTGTCATCCAACATAAGTGCTAGGAAATGAACTCGAGTCCTCTGGAAGAGCAGGAAGTAATCTTAACGGCTGAGCCATCTCTCCAGCTCCAAATAAGAGCACATTTAACAGCTTCCAGCTTGAGAAACTGAGTAGTTTGCATATAGCTTCATTGTATTGGTAATTTCCATAATCATACAATTATTCTCTAATATCTAGGTAAAGAATAATACCTAAGACCATTATTTCATAACCTGTAGCTGCTTAGTGTGCTAGAATTGACATTTTCTTCAGGTATCTTCATAGACTAAGACATTAGTGTGTCACATTTATTAATATTACACACACACACACACACACACACACACACACACACACACACGTATGTAAGCAAAGCCTGAGTATGTTTTAATTATTCTGAGGATGTTTTGACTTGTTCTAAAATAAGAAAAGAATCACTTCTACTACATAAAGCTTCACTATTCTTTTTAGTTAATAGAAAATATCTACAAATCAAAGTTTTATGATTCTATCTCTCTCTAATTTTAAGGATCTGATGTTGAAGCCCCATTTTCATACTGGTGTCACTATTAAAATCTTTGTCTTTAAAGAGGGGGTGAGCCATTTCCTCAGGGGCTATTTCACAGCCTGAAGTTAGCATCCAAAAACCCTGGGATCAATGCCACAGGCTTCACATGCTAATTCTACCTGGACAACAGCCTGCATGTTTCCTGCTGGTGACATCAGCATTTCTGTTCTATTTCCATGGTATCACAAACTTTTGTTATCTCATTTTGTCCTTATATACAATACTTAGGAAAATATACATTTTCCTGCATATTCTTGGATTTAATGTTTCTTACCAAATCATATATTTTTGCTAAGAAAGAAACATGGGTAAAATTAAAATACAAGTAAATTGCATATGTGTATGTCACAAGAAAAATCTCTACAAATAACAATTCATCAAGATTGGGAATAGGTCAAAAGAATGGAAAATGATTTCATTCCATTTCTTTGTCTTAAGAGTACTAATAATGCCATAAAAAAAAAAGATGGCCTACATTTTACTTCTCATTTTAAAAGTACCATGCTAGAGGATAGAACATTAGGTATTGGAGAATTGGGAGAGAGGAGGCAGAAGAAGAGGAATTGGTTTTAATAAAAATTTGTTTCATCAAATCCAATTAACTTCCACAAACAGAACTCATTCAAAGTGCAATTTAAAGAGATACTACCCTGAGAGGAAAGTGCTGTATTTCAGAGATAAAGTGAATGTAAGACACCCAAGAAAACCTGTTTATAACCAACCATCGTAGGAGGAAATCAACATGGAACAAAGAGGAGTAAAAAAAAATTAAGAATCACCAGGCAATGGGGATGTACTTCCTAATCCCAGGACTCAGGAGGCAGAGGCAGGTGAATCTTAGTGAGTTAGGTCCCAGCCTGGTTTACAGAGGGAGTTCCAGGACAGGCTCCAAAGCAATAAAGAGAAACCACATCTCAAAAAACAAACAAATGAATAAACAAGATAAGAATCAAACTTAAACTAAGTGCCTAGAAAGGTCTTTTGTCTTTCAAGCTCTTGGATTTAAAAAGTATATACAATATCTTCCATGAAAAGTGCTGGACATATTTGAAATGCAATTAAAGTTTATATACACTAGATAAAGTCCAAATATTTAAGGTGGGATATTGAACCATACAAGCAGAAGCGAGGCACAGCTCTGCTGCTAAAACCTTAAAGAACAAGGGAACAACCTAAGTTTGCAGCACTGGAAAGTAGCCATGTTGTTACTGGAGATGCATTATGTGGATGCAGAAACAGGAGAGGAAGCAGATAAGGCAGATGGGTTCCTGGGAAAACATACTTATCAGCAACTGCAGACCTGCCACTCAAGGATGGGAAGTCTGTAGAAGAACAGGGCACTGAGAGCAAAAAGTACCTTGACCAAAAATGTTGATAAGTGCCTGGTATGGTCTCACATCTTCAAGATGAATTTTCTAAAGCAAAAGAAAATAGAAAATTCTCCCCCTTGAGATTACAGAACTTAGAGATCCTCGTGTGTGTGTGTGTGTGTGTGTGTGTGTGTGTGTGTGTGTGTGTGTGTGTGTGTGTGTGTGCGTGCGCCCCTTTATAAATGAAACAATTCTTCATCATGTCAGGTTTCAGAGAAGCAGATAGCAGATGAAGATTAACAGATAAAAACGTAAATTTTGACAGAGTCTCAAGTTTATTTTTCTTAAGTTAGAAGCTTTAACAGCAAAATAGAGAGAGAAGTTATTTGATTTGACTCCAAAATGAAAAAAAATTTACAACCATAATTATATATCATAAATATGCACAAGGAAACAAATTCTAGATATTCATGGTTCTGAATGCTTGTTCCCTGAAGGTTCTACATTGGTCTGCAGTGGAATGAATAGTGAATGTGAGTTTCAGATAAGACTAAGGAAATGCATAGATATTGCTATTTTCAATAAATACTGCAAAGGGCAACATGAATATTCACTATTTTGATACATGTTTACATTCTGTGGTTACATCCCGTGGTATAAAGAAAAATCAAGCATCGAGTCCATGGGGATGTACCACTACACTTAGTATAGTACTATTATACTTAGGAATTTGTTATGAAATGGCAACCGCAATAAAAAAAAACCACTTTACTAACTAAAATATTATGACACCCAAGGATTTTAAAGAGATAAAGATTACACTTATTGTTAAATTTGGAGACTCTTTGGATTTAATAGGGACCAAACTTGAAGCCAAAAATTGAAAGCAATTTTATTACATGCACAGAGAAACATAGCCGGAAATGATGGTTATTTTAGCAGTCTTTTTAACCTAGGGATGTCTTTCAGAAATATATGTTAAAAAGGTTAGATATCCACCCTGAGAATTAAAACACATGCATTAATTTCCCTTTTTTCTCAAGTTAAAAAACTGTTCTTTGTCTTACTTACTCCAGCAATAAATCCTGCAGTTTCCATCCATTTACATTTTCCTAGATTCTAACCTTCACCCCACTCTGCTAATTGTATAATGTTCAGATGTTGATGTTTCCATGGCTATTCCTCCCTCTGTCAGTCCCCTTATTCTTATCTCATATCAATCATTAAAATTTTTCCAGGAAGTACAAACCTGGGCTATAAAATACACTGTAAAATCTATACTGTCATACCATAACTATCCATTATTTTCTGGGCCAGGTCTGCCTAGTAGGTAGCCAGCCAGTCGTCAGTCTTATGCACCCACCTGCTTATCAATTACTTCAAGTGGCTTTAAGGGTCATTTGTTCCTATTGGCCAG